ACTCTGGATTCGCTGCGGTAGCCGCCATGACTCAGGGCTTAGGTTAAGGTCGAGTTGGACACCCTGTGGAAATTATATTTTTTTTATTTTAGTTTGTAAGTTGGTTGTCCTCCCGCCCTCCCCGTTAGGTGCCCATGATAGGATTTCTGGTTAGGCTGCGTGAAGTTAGGCTTCGTGTCGGTTTAGGAGGGTTTAGTTTTAAGTATTTCTGTGTGTTTTTTATGCCATAGGGTGCAACTTGACAGGGTTCGGTCGGCACAACAATGAAATCAATGCGAGAGAGAGAGGGATAAAAAGAACTTTGACAATCTCTCTCTGTGAATAACTCGCATTGGAGGGACAGAGATCCAATAAAGTAAAACTTAATTTTGCTTTCATCCCTCTTTCAATTCAATGTTGAAAGATAAAGAACTGGATCTGGATCTATCTAGAATAGACATAAAAATTTATGATGACATGTTATGTTTCTTTGTGTGCATATTCAATTTGATGACACATTATATTGATGTCTATTGTGCTGCATATTCAATTTGATGACATATTATATTGATGTGTATTGTGCTGCATATTCAATTTGATGACATATCATTTTTGTATGTATGTATTGTGCTGTGTATTCAATTTATAAAATGTTAAAATGAGGAAACACATAAGGTGAGTCAATAAAACGTGCTCCAGATTCTGCACAAAAGAAGACATCGATTGTCATCATGAAGAATTGCACAAGGTAAGTCAAAATTGCTGCAGCTTCAGCAACGGAGAAGACAACGTTTGTCATCACAATGAAAGGCATCGCTTGAGTCGATAATATAAGGGTTTTACATTGTTACTTCTCGAGAAACACACATGGATTTGTGACGACTATATTTCAAGTGACAGTAAAAGTCACCGATTGTTGTCGGAGTTTGGATTTTACAGGACAAAACTTAACTGATGTAAATAGTAACTTATCTTTGAAAAAATATATGGTGTATTCGGTTTAAATTGAGTATATAATGTTGGCTAGTTGTGTAAATAGCCCCTAGGCTGTGCGACAAAAAATAAGTTTTCATTTTACGTTGACGAATTCTTTCCATGTGCCGGAACATCTCCCATTTGACCGTGTTCCTGT